ACCATGACTAACCTAAGGTTGTGGTAACAACCACAACCTTAACGAGACCACATATAAGGGTGACCTCAGTATCATTGATAACGACAAACTCAAATGGCGGGATCAAGTTGCACACGCGGTTGCCAAGGCTAAAAAGGCACAAGGTATCTTTAAAAGAACCTTTCATTATTGGGATATAAACAGCTTTCGCATACTCTATACGACTTAGGTACGGCCACACCTCAAGTTCTGCTCTTTCACATGGAACCCTTATGATCGCGGAGATATTGACGCTCTTGAAGCAGTACGAGAAAGAGCCACTAAGCTCGAGCCTTATTTAAACCCAATAAAGTATCGTCAAATACTAACCGTTTTAAATATTTAATCACTAAAAGATAGACGGTGTAGAGGCGACCTCATCCAATACTTAAAGATGTACCACAGCATCAACAAATTTGAGCTCAGTAAACAAAATCAGTTAGTTCCAGCATTAAGTGTGCAGGGACCTGCATAATGCCTCCGAGGGCAATGTCATTGACTTCAACGACAATCAGTAACACACTGTGTGCAAAGAGAATCTTTCTGAAATCGTGTCGTACATGACTGGAACTTTTTTCCGAATTCCATTATGTCTGCCGGTTCGGTCAACGCTTTTAAAAATAAACTAGACCTATTTTTTCCTGAACTTTTACAAAAAAAAGAAAAAAAAAGAACTGAAATTTATCACAGCGGGGCTTCGTTAGTTGCCCTGCTAATATAAGTAATTTATAACAAATGCTTAGTCATTTGTTATAAATTTCTTATATTATATTTTATTATTATTATTACCCTGTTGTGATACAACAACATTATTTATTGGCAGTGGCGTTGTAAGTGGGTGCAGATGGCTCCGAGTGACAATATCAGAGCGACACTAAAATGAACAAAAAGCAAATATAAAAGAACTTTTTTTTTAAAGTTTCTTTTCTTCTTAAGTTTTTTTTTTAAGTTTCTTTTCTGTTATTCTTTTTTTAAGTTTCTTTTCTTTTATTCTTTTTTTAAGTTTCTTTTCTTTTATTCTTTTTTTTTTTTTTTTTGCCATATTTTTTTAAAGTTTCTTTTATTCTTTGAAAGTTTTTATTTTTTTAAATCTTTTTTAAAGTTTCTTTTTTTTTATTCTTTTAAAGTTTCTATTCTTCTATTCTTTTTTTCTTAAGAAATTTCTAGATAGAGAGGACAATTTTTAGTTTTTGTCTAGAGGGGTGGCACGAAAAGTTTACCGGTCCGGGTGACACCAACCTTAACAACGTCACTGGTTGTTGCTGGTTGTTAGCGTAATACAACATTAAAGAGATCACAACTTTAAAGAAGTCACAGCTTCTGTTAGAATAGCAGTTTCTATTAAAACAATTAAAACCAACATTTAATGCCAATTGTGACGATGATTAATTATCTATCAATATAATTATGCGATATCAATATAATTATGCGATAGTAAATTAAGTTAAAAAAAAAATATATATTTTTATCACAAAATTAGAAAACAGATAAACTTTAAGATAAGATCTTTTTGCAACGGTTTCAAAATTTTTGTTAAAGAGCTATTATGTTTAAACATAGTCAATAGAAATCCTGGTCTGAAAAAGCTATTTTTATATTATATTATTGTTTCAATCTCATTTTAAAACCGTATCTTGAAAAATGCGTAAAAAGTAGTCACGTGATCAAATCTAGTGTAAAACATATTTTTAAATGGCGTTTTCTGAAGAACTTTTTACAGGCGAAACGCTTGATTATATAATAAATATTAATGCTGATGATAAATTAAATCCGGATTTGCAAGAATATTTTGATAATGCATTATCAAAGGGTAATAATAATGTTTAAATTTTAATTAGAATGGTTTATTTTGGTGTAAAGGTTAACGCAAATGATTAAGTCAAATTAAAAAAACATTTTTAAAAGTTATCTCAATATTTACTGTTAATAATCGTACTAAAAGAACATATATATATATATATATATATACAGTGGCGACAAAATAAATAGCACACTTTCATAACCAGTTGGTTTTTTTTTTGGTACCAATATTTTTGTTTTTATTGCAACATTTTTTTATATATATATCATCAAAAATGTTTACATTTTTGAACGGCATTACTCATTTTATATTTATAACTGTAAAAATTGCTTGATTGAGGCATTTTAGCGGTCGTGCTTACATTTTTGAGGACATTTTAAATAGCACACATTAGCATTTTATTTTAAAAAAACTAAATTTTTGTAATATATCAAAAGATAATCATTCTATTTAATATTCTAAGTATATTCTTGTATATTTTTAGCAAAAAATAATAAAATAATAATTTTCTGTCAATTATGGGACGTGGTAAACATGGAACAGATGTCTTTCGAGGACAAGTACAGGCGTATTGAGATCAAGGATTGAACAATTCTCAAATAGCTCGAAGATTTGGTTGTTCTCGTAAGAAAGTTATCAGTGCTATTAAATTATTTAACAATACTGGTCATTAAGCAACAAAAAACGCAAGTTTCGCGAACGAAAAACAACCCCCAGGGAAGACGCAGCCATTGTTCGTATTGCTAAGATGAATCCTCTTGCTAGCGCACCAAAAATAAAAAAATAAATTGCTCAAAATCTAAAACTCAATCTGTCTGTCAGCACAGTCAAAAGTCGGTTACGCGAAAATAAGCTGTTTGGAAAGGTTGCTCGAAAAAAACCATTGGTCTCAAAACGTTATCTCGTCAGGCGTTTGAAGTTTGCAAAACAGTACGTACACAAGGACTTGTGTTTTTGGAAAAATATGCTTTGGACTGACGAGTCTAAGTTCAATCGCTTTGGATCCGATGGAAAGCAATATGTTCGTCGTCCCCAGAACCAAGAACTCAGCCAACATTATACTTTAAAGACCATTAAACATGGTGGTGGCAAGGTGATTGTTTGGGGTAGTTTTTCATGGAGTGGAGTAGGCCCGTTTTATAGAATTCAAGGCACGATGGATCAACATATCTACAAAGAAATACTGGAAAATGTGATGTTGCCATATGCCCAAGAAAATCTCCCCAAGACAATGACCCCAAGCAGTATTAAAGTATGGCTTACCGCTAATAAGATTGACGTTTTACGGTGGCCCACACAAAAGTATTAAAGTATGGCCATGGTGGCCCATACAAAAGTATTAAAGTATGGCTTACCGCTAATAAGATTGACGTTTTACGGTGGCCCACACAGTCACCAGACCTAAATCCAATAGGAAATTTGTGAGAGGAAGTTGATAGAAACATAAACCGTTTAACTGCAACAAATTTAGACCATCTTTGGGTCGAAATAAAAGCTGCTTGGGACGCCATTACGCCTGCCAAAACTTGATCTCCTCAATGGGCCGTCGTTGTCAAGCGGTTATTGACTCAAAAGGATAAACACTAAATATCCTCAAAAAAATCTTCAAAAAAATCCTCAAAAAAATCTTCAAAAAAAGTTTTTTCAACTATTTATGCAAAGAACTTCCATGATTTTTGTACCCAAAAGACAAAATTATAACTTTGTACAGGGTGTCCTATTTAAGTTGCCCTCTTATTCTGTAGTTCTAAATCATTTATATGGTTGCACTTTTTTTTTACATAAGCTACTTTTATTTCTTAATCGGTAATGTTATCTTTTATAACTAATATATTATAAGGCTAAAAAAGTTTAGGCCTCAAAAACTTAGATCTCTGGAAAATAAAGCATTACATTTTGGATATCAATCTGTGCTATTTATTTTGTCGCCACTGTATATAATAAATGCTATTTTTAATATATATTAGGTAACCGATATTGGAGACTTCAAGTGCAAAATTTGCAAATCCAAGAAACCTACATCAACAGTATTTACAACAAAGTTATGCAATAAATTATTTCACTATTTTCAAAGCTCTCCATCAAAGAATGTTGAAGTTGAAGAAACTTCACCACGTGAAGTAGATGGATTAAAATGTTTGTCTGGGAACGTTATAAGAAATCTACTTAAAAAGGCAAAAACAACAAAAAATTAAAAAAGCCAGTACAATCAAGCTATAATTGCATTATTACTTTGAACAACTAAAGAAGATTCATATTCAGAAAAGTTAACAAATACCCAAAACAGAGGGGGTTTAACAGCAGTATGTGAAGAATGCAATCAGATTTTCTTGCTAGCTGAGAAACATTTTAGACAAGAAAATGCAGTTACTAACCTCCGAAATATTGAAAGTAAGAATTTAACAAAACACCTACTAAAAGATCCTAATATTATAAGTTTTTACAATGCAATCGTGGATGATGTGAAATTCGTGTCTATTGATTAGGAAATAAAGCTTAACTTGTTAGAAAAACTGATAAAACTTTATTTTAGAGTTCGCACATTTTCATTGGCTAAAAATATAACTGCAAAAAACAATGATCAAAGTTTTAAAGTAAAATCTTTAAGAAAAAGTATAAAACGTAAATCAAACAATAAATAAAGAGTTAAACTTTAAACTTAATACAAATAATTGATATATTTTGTTATATGCTATGTTTATATTTAGATTATATTTATAGGTTTTTTTTCGTTTTGGTAACTTTTCATTATCAACAACACTCCAAGATACCTCACATTTTTGACCATGACCACCTTAAGTATTTCCAGTAACTGGCGCAATTGATCTTTGCAATCGCAAGGTATTTGACTGGTAATTGATATAGTGTAGGGTTGTCATTTCTTCGACCTAAACTCCGTTGTCTACCAAAGTATTCCGCCAAAACGTCTTGATTGAATTTTTCAGTCAAAACAAACGGCATACCACTTTTTAATAAAAATTTTACCAATTCGATAACAGACATTACAGCTATTTGAAGTCCTTTGTATGTTTGCCAAGAGATAAACATTTTTCTTTTTGCATTGCTGGAAAAGTTACCAGGACAATTAATAATACACTCTTTCCATTTTTCTAAATAGCATAAAAATGTATTCTGTATGTATTCAATAATGTATTCAAACGCTCGTCATTAACATCCGTGTATGGTAATAAAAATGGTTTGCGTTTCATTATCTCTTCACTTCTGTTTCGCACATTTAAGCAATCAAAAAAACTATCTAACATTTCAAAAAATTTTGCAGTTCCATTTGTATCATCAGGGTAATAATTTTTAAAATGTTACTGACACTACTACTTAAAACCTGGGCTGCAAGTCTTACATTCATAACAGAATAAGCACTAAGTTTAATATGATCCTGTGTTAACTTTGGTATAGTTTTTAACCCATTTTTCATTTCTTCATTGACTATTCTTGTGATATGGTACCAAATCAATTGTTGTCCATCATTCCAAAGACTTCGTGTACCCCTGCCATCTCCTGAAATAAAAAAAGATTGAATCTTAATATAACACAAAATTATTGCCTACAATTCAACTCTCAATCTAGGGAGGTTTAAAACATTGCATAGCCCTTCTAATCTTAGCTAAATAAGTAAGTATTTCATACTTTTTAATATAAAAATCTGTTATTTTATTATTACTTTCCAGAAAATTAACAGATTATGGTTATTTCTAGAAATAACCATAATCTGTTAATTTGGAAAGGCCTGTAAACCAATACATTATAAATATAATTTACATACCTGAGTGATATAAACAGTTCCTTGCTGTTTTAATGAGATGGGGAGCATCAGCAAAAAACCATAAGTACCGTTCAGGGGCATAAGTATTAATGCATCGATGAACAACATTACAATCTAATTTGTCATCAAACATACTATGCATTCGATAGAACTTTCTGTTTGGTGCTGCACCATCCGATACTGCAGCTATAACATATAATTTACATGTCAAATATAATTTATGTCAAATATAAAAATATAAAAATATAAAAATAAACATGTCAAATATAAAAATAAACATGTCAAATATAAAAATAAAAAAGCTATAACATATAATTTACATTACAAAACTCCAACTTCTTCCCAGTAAGTTGGCATTAGTTGGAACGAGGTGAGACCTTTAGTAGCAAAGTGCCATAAAGCAAACTTTAAGTCAGAAGCAATACCTCGAATGAAGTAGACTAGAACATGGCTTGCTAAAGAATCTTCCTTTTGAAAAGTAGAATATAAATCAGGTTCACCTAAAAAAACCTATGTTACCTGAGTGTTTATGAAAAACAAGTTTTTCTTGTATTTTTAATTCATCAAAAGAAAACGTTACATATCGTTGGTAGCCAACTAGATTAATACTAATTTTATTCAATTCTTCAATTACGGGAGGGTTTAATCCAGCTTTCGGTCGAATGAAATTCTTATAATCTTTTAGAGTTCTGCGACTTGGTAATGTTAGTACATTTGATGAGCGCAACTCATCATAAGCTGAGGCTGACTTTGAGGCAAGTGAGAGGCAAAACCGTATTATCATAGGGTGATACTTTTTTGAGCCAAGATTTTTATTAAACACATTTTCTTTTGCTAGTCCCAAAATAATTTCATAAAGGGAGTAGCTTTTTCGTAGTTAATACTCATTATTTGGTTTAAATCATCAACAAACCCATCATCAATAGTAATACCTTTAGAGTCTATTTGAAAATTTATTTTTTTTAAATCACTTGTTAGCTGGGCACATCTTAGACGTTTTTGTTGTAATGCCAATAGAACGCGAACAGGATTTGTTTTACTAAGTGGAGCTTTTCGAAGAGCAGGTGTGACTAACTGATGTTGTTTTTTTATTTTAATCATTTAGTTATTTTTTAGTGTGTACAAAATGAAATTTTTTAGTGTGTACAAAACAGAATTTATATCATCTGACTCACTAGTATGTAATATAATACATGATTTTGCTCTTTTAAACCTTTTATTTGATACACGCATACCATCTGTACTTGCACTTTCTAAATCAAATTCCATTGGAACAATATGATAAACAAAATCATCATTATTTATATTTCTGATTTTTTCTATAATACCAGAACAAAATCTTAATGTACATATTTTGCATTAAAGTTCGGTAACTCTAGTCTTCAGCATTGATCGTGAGTATAATTTATAGATTAAGTGAGTATCTGGCAAGAGCCATCCAAATACAATAATGGTGAACGCTAAACTGTCATCCACTACAACTTCATACTTAGGTAACAAATACAAAGGCAAAAACTTTTTAAATTTGATATTGTTTTCATTACAGTCATCTCCCATCCACTAAGTTTTAACTTTGAGTTTTTTTCTGTAAATCAGTTAAGTTTAAATATTTTATTCGTTTCTGTGGGACAATATCTTTTACAATACTTATGTGTCTTCTAGGTGCCTTTTTTTCTTTTTCATGTGATTTTATGGGTAGGTTAACAGTTGGTAAAGCCTCTAAGCGTAATGATTTCCTTCCAGTTTCTGAAATTCAACATATTTCAATAAAGTAAATATAAATTATCACACAAAAATAAGAACAATACTGAGAACTATACTGAGAAAAAAAGAGAATATGTTATCCACAAATTTATATAAAGCCACAAATACTTTAGGCTTTATGAAATTTATTTGTTTATTGTACTTAAACTTATCAGAGTTGCCAAAAATTAATGCTTTTGGAATTAAATAACACAGAGTGTAAAAGCAAATTTAAACAACTAAATATGTAAAAGTATACTTACTTGTCAATTCAATATCTTCTGCTAAAACATGATTCTCACATATATAAATATTGCCCTTTGAGAGTCTTTCTTTCAAATCTTTGTCAAAGTCTCTATACTGAGTGATAACAGCTAACAATCTCTGTCTCCATTTTTTATAGAAGTCTCCTGTCTTCATAGGAATTCTGAATAAGGTGAAATCTTTGTGCTTAATAGATCTTGAAACTGTACATCTTGGTAGACAACAATTTGAACCTGGCATTTTGGACTTATCTTTTAGACTTTTTTTAAATATAGAATAAAAAGAAACATTTAAATTGAACAAAGTTTTTAAACCATAGACAATAGAAAGGAACCAATATTATTTTAATAATAATGAAAAATAATAATTTTAATATATTAATTTAAAATAAACATCAAAATCTTTATTAATTGTAACTTTTATTATAAAAGTTTTGCTTAGATTTGATCACGTGACTTAAAAAAAGCGAACAATAACATACGACAATAGCTTTTCCAGACCAGGATTTCTATTGACTATGGTTTAAAACATATTAACACCAGTAATGAAAAAAATAACAAGTTGTGTAATAAACATATGTAATAATTTGTAACAATGTAACATTTTGCTATTTTTATAAATATTTAATAGCAAAATGTTATCTTGGCTTTTAAGGAATGATTAGAAGCAGTGACCCGACGGGCATTTGTTTTTAAAAGTTACGATCTAAATGTCTTTTAAATGTCTTTTAAACGTCTTTTAAACATTAATGTTTAAAAGACGTTTAAAAGACGTTTAAAACACATTTAGAACGTAACTTTTAAAAACAAATGCCCGTCGGGGAGATTCAATAAAACTAAGTTGTTTCTGTTTATTATTTTTTTATAATTAAAAACAATAATTTAGGAGTTAGTTGACTAAGTTTGTTACTCTCCAAACTTTTAGCATACAGTGTGTATATAGTAGAAATTTTTTTTTATTAAAAGTTTTTTTCTAAAATTAAAATCAGGATTTTGTTAGAGTCTTTGAAAGGTCAGATGAAATGAAACAGAATCTCATACTCGTTGCCAGAGACCACAGAAAGAATCTAAAGTCGGACTTGTCAAAAAAGCAACTCAAAAATGTTAAATTTTTTAAACAGGAAATGTCTATTTTAGAGAGTTCCTAAAATACGTTTTTTTTTTGCTTAAAAATGCAATTTAAAAAAATTGCAATATTTTTAAATAAATTGCAAAAAGTTTTAAATATCTCACTTTTAAGCAAACAAAGATGTTTTTATAGTATCTTTAGCCTATTTGGACCATATAGAGTGAGAAAAACTTGAGAGAATTTTTTTTTCGGGACACGCTAATGAAGAAGATCTACATCTATATTTATATCTAATTTTATAATTAAACAAATATAAAGTTATACATTATGCAAGTTATTTTATATATAAATATAAAAAATATTTTGTATAATGTATATCTAATGTTTGCCTACTAAGGTAAAGTGGTGTCACATTGACACATCTTTAATAAATATTTTTTTTTAGCATGCGACAAAAAAATTTGTATCCTATATTTCCAAGTGTTTACCATTAATATTTCTGCCATAAACTGTTAAAAAATTTAATTTTACGTGTAATATTATTGATAGAAAATTGTTTTTGCTGCTGTAGTGCCACTGTCAATGTTACCCTCTGAGGTAACTTTGACAATAAAATGTTTTATGCTTTATATATTAAAATACCTTTTTACACAATAATTAGAATTTCGACAAAAAAAAAATAAAAAAAAAATAGAGAAAACATTTAAAATATATACTAGCACCATCCTATAGTTTCTTTTAAAAAATAACCATTTTGAAAAAAATTTTAAATAGCGCTGAAACCATAAAAAAAAAGTAAATTTGAAAAATAAAATATATTGAAAAGTCCAGTTCTGATATTGTCTATTTGTATATATAAAAAGTTATTTTTTTAGTTTTGCCTTATTTGGTTGATTTAATTTTATTTGATCTTGCACGAGATTCATCAGATGTCAGACATTACTCCAATGTTCTCTTGATTCTTTTTCTTTTTTGCCGCTTTTCACAGGTTGCGCGTGTCGAAGATGTTTTAAAAGTACCACTTCTAGTTGTTTTTTTAGCAG